AGGCTCAAGCACAATATAAAAACCTTGAACACTGATCGGAGAAAACATCTTCCAAGACCTCCAATTCTAACACACGGGCCCTCACATCCCAAACTCAGCCATCTACCGACCGAAGAATGGCCGCCTCCTCGCAAGAGAAGAACTGAAAGACGGAACCACTACGACGCTAGTAACCCCACCAGAAACACAGCTTCTAGACAGAGAAAGTAGATGCTCCCGCAACAAGACCACATCTAAAAGACGAACCCCAAACCAGACTTAGACCAACTCCTAGCAAAGCCACCTTGGAACGGATAAGAAGAAAAGCCGAGCACAGGAACAAGACCAGGCCATAACCAACAAGAAATCTGTCAGAGAAACTGAAGCCGGAACATCTGGCCTTGCCAAAAAACCCGTCGCTACAAACACAACAGACACCAACCGGAGAGACCAACACCATCAATCAACCCCAAAACCACTGCGAATACCATGACGCTACAAGACCATGACGCAACCACACGACATCGATGAGGACTGAGACTCGATACGAGCTCTCGAATCAAAGCCCTCTGCCTAACTCGTTACGCACCCTAACAAACTCTAAACACGAGATCTACTAAATATAAAGAAAAAAGCTAATGGACCGGCGGTGGCACTAACGGAGCCGCCATGCGCCGGTCACCGGAGTTGTAGAGATGAACGGTTGAAGGAGGTTGAGAGGGGGAGAGAGGATAAGGGAGGTTATTTTTATTTTATTTATGCATTTTTTGGACACAAAAGAATCAATAAGAAATGGATAATAATAATATTAATAATTGAAAATCAATATCAATCCTAGTCAGATTAGAATCATTCAAAGATGAAGGTATTCATCAAAACTAGTGCCAAAGTGGGGTTTGAAAAAGAAATAATGGAATAGGATAAGAAGAAGAGTGGAATGGGCCAGACCATATCCAATTGCAACAAACCAGCTCAATCTTATTTTAGATTATTTTTAAACTTAAACATTAGAAACATAGTTCTATATATTAATGACACACCATACTTTCAAGGAAACATTTATTTAGACTATGATTAACCCCAGTCTTTTAACTAAATTTTTAGCTTTGGCTAAGAGACATTTTTTAGTTTTTCTTCGATTTTAACTAAGAAAAACCAAAAACCGTCTCTTAAATAAAAGATATAACAGTTGTCTAATAGAAGAAAAGTGTAAAAAAAAAATCCAATTATGAGTTAAGAATCCTGACTAAGAGACCAGAGTTAATCATGCTCTTAGACATTTAGCCATGCGGGTCTTTGGGTCGGATTGGATTGATTCCGTTTGAGTTCAGATCTCTTGGATTCTATATATTTAGATCCAATTAGCTACTTTGAAAGTTTTGATTCGGATCCGGATTGGTTCCTTCAATAACACTTCAAACCTATAATTAAGATATCTAGAAATACCTTATGTTTTGAGTACATAGCGGATATTGGTTGGATTAAGGTATTTAAAACCACAAAAGACTCAAAGTATTTAAAATGCATCAAAATTTAGATAAAATCTATCATATTTATCTAAAATTGTACAAAATAACGAAAATAATTTATTACTAATTGAATTTAAACTCATTGAGATTTAATATTTTTTATTACTTGACAATGTTACAAAAATAATAATAATATTTATTGCAAAAAAATATTACAACTAAGTCATAAACTAAAATATATAAAATAGTACACATGTAGTCATAGTATTTATATTTATTGGTCGGATATAAATCAGTTCTTATCGAATCGGGTCTATTCGAATCCGGTGTATTTGGCCGACTCTTTTATGTTTTCATTTTTTCGGGTAAAGAAATTTTGAACCTAACTTGGTACTTGTAAAAACGTTATACCATCAAAGTCAGATTCTTTTTAGCTTTACTGTTGCAAATTAAAAAAAAAAAGACACTAAGAATTTCCAACCTACGGAAATCGAACCAGACCTAAAGATTAAAGGGATGTTAAAGACTACAGTCTTCCACTCTACCAACTGAGCTAAGTCGGATGTTAGAATTTCTCAGCCTAAACTTAATATGTATCATAATGTAGGTGAAACGTGTCGTTGGGTTTGTTTTTTTTCATGGGTCAGTGAAACGCATCTTTTCTTTGCATAATTTGGAAATTTCAAGAAGGCACAAGATATTTTTGATGATCTGGGAGCCATTAGTTGACATATACTATGTACATATCTAATAAAAAAATTCATCTGACTTGTATTATTAGAAATTGGGTTGTATGATTCCACAATAACATATAATTAGGTTGATAGACAGTCACCTTAGCTTTTCTATACACCGATACAATTTTATGTAATATTGATATTTTAATTTTTAATTGTGGAAAGTAACTGTGGTACTATTATCATCAGATTATCCTTTTAACATGTCGTCGACGGTTTCACCTTCTTCCAGCCCAGCGATTTTCTCTCCACAGTCACCACTATTAACCTCCTCTGCGTTTCTTTGTACTCCTCAAAGTGTGTTGCAAAGGAGAAATCGTCTCTGCTTGTGAAATTGGTTGCGAGAAGAGTTCGTAAGTGTGATCGGCGTGAACAACCACCAGAGCCTTATCTCCTTCATATCGGCGATTAAGTGGAGATATGTTGCAATATTGTAAGTTCGTTGTTTTGTGTTATTGATTATATTATTCCAATGTTATTTCTCTTATTTGGAATAGATTAGGCCCAGGTCTATTCTAAGTTGATAAATCTAACCCATCATTGTTGTTGCATGGCCGATCTGGTAAGCTGAGATAAACGAATTGATTTACGGTTGAAGAATCGTATCAGAACTAATATACTATTTGTTTCACATTCCATCTGATCATCTGTTCTGTTCCATATATATATATTCTACGTTATATCAGATGGTATAGTTCTAATTGCATATGTTGGTTCTTTACTCGCATAGGCTATTTGAGATCAACACAACTAAACATTTAATTTAAGTATAAAGTAATTCATATACTAGTAGCCTATCTCATATGCTGCCATTTTCTTCCAAGTTGTAAAATAACGTTCGTCTTCATTTTCATTTTGTTCTTCAGATTTGTCATAGATGAGTTGGAAGAGTAATAGTATTTCTATACTATTTTATGAAATGGAACAGATGTCTTTCCTTCAAATTTTATTTAATTTAAGTATAAAGTAATTCATATACTAGTAGCCTATCTCATATGCTGCCATTTTCTTCCAACTTGTAAAATAACGTTCGTCTTTATTTTCATTTTGTTCTTCAGATTTGTCATAGATGAGTTGGAAGAGTAATAGTATTTCTATACTATTTTATGAAATGGAACAGATGTCTTTCCTTCAAATTTGACTATTCTTTTATTTTCCATGCTTATTAATATATAATGTACTATTTAGTAAGTTATATTTCATTCGATGCTTGAAAAGAGAAGGTTCAATCTTGTTTGTTGTTGTTTCATGTTCTATTGATATGAGTTGTGTATTGGCGTATACATGTGTTTTATTTTAGTTGTATATGATTTTGTAAAGAGAAATAATATATTGAACGTAAATGGAATAGAATTTATTATGACATCACATAAAACAGATTACAATGTGATGTTGAATGGGAATGATGTTCATATTATGTTGTCTCTTCCACTTATTTTCTCTAATGCCGTCAATCTTCATTTATTTCGCTACAATCAATCTGAATTTGGTGTAAGCATTACCTCTTTCTCTTTAATCATAGATACTTCAAAATTTGAACAATATATATGTAATGTGCTATATCGTTTGTTACCTTTTCTATTTCATTCTCTCTTGTAGAATGGAAATGCATAGTACTTGCATTTCAAAATTTGGGTTTAGTTTATGAAAGATTGGTGTTGACATTGGTTTAGAGTTTATATTTCCATGTAAGTTTTAGTGATTATTGTCTAAAGTTTAGTTTATGAAAGGGTTGATATTAGATTAGGGTTTATATTTTCGTGAAGGGTTTATTGATTAAATGATAAGAGTTTAATTTATGTACGATTGGGGTTGACAATGGGAAAAGCATTATCACCTTCCATGAAGGCATAGCCATTTTAACATTTGAGAAATATGTTAATATAATCTTTAGATTACAACTACATTTTCACATTTTATATTCTCTATGATTCATGTAGAATGGTAATGTATTTTACTGGTATTTTGAAATTTGGGTTTTAATTTATGAAAAATTGGTGTTGACATTGGATTATGATTTATATTTCCGTGTAGAGTTTAGTAATAAGTTGAAAGGATTTAGTTTATATCCATATTGGGTTATTTTGTTGTAAGTTTGCTGTGGTTATTTTGTTAAAATACATACCATGATTCTATTCTATATTGTTCGAGTAGAATGTAAATTAAACTTCTTTGCATTTCCTGCTATAAATTGAAATGAAATACAAGATATATTAAAAAAAAATCTATTTTAGTCCACACATTTATTGCACACAATAATTTGATATGTGATGAATATGTAAATGATGTGGTTTTTCTCTCTTTCATAAGTTACCACCAACTCGCCTCTTTTTGGGCCACATAAATTATAGTTGATGTCATTTATTTTTTCTGATTTACCGGCAACTTGTTGGAATAAAGGGCAGAACCGGATTATGTTTGTGTTAAATGTCACCGATTTAATTATGTCAAAATCATAGCCAATTTCCTAATTGCACTTCCGAATTGGCTATCTCGGAAATTCTCCCTTGTATTATTGGATGGTCCCCAAGTGTAAATCCCACCACCAATATGCCCCCACTTTTTCTCCTATCTCTATCAATGACACAAGGTATATGAAAACCCGTCAAACTTACCCTGGTTTTCTAAGTCCAAAAAGACCAAACAACCCCCCTCCTTTCATTCTCTACATAAAGTTCACATGTTTCTGTCTCTCTCTCATTCATATATTCAAATTAGGATCAACAGAAAAAAGGAGAATGGCAAAAGCTATGGAGGTTTAAGTGGGAAAGATGAAAAAGATGGGTGAGAAGATAAGCCCTAGAAAAATCCATTGATGAAAAAGAAGAAGAGTACATCTTCTGTTGTGTCTAAACAACAGCAAGGAGAAGAAGTAAGGAGGCTTAAACAAAAGATAAGAGAAAAGGGTGAGGATGCAACTATGTCTGAGACTACCGTATGTGTTCTCATGGACCGTTTTGTTCCAAGGTAATACTCCAATATACTATTTTGAGATCGTGCATTTGGTGATGATGTGTGTATATATATCTAGATGTATCTCTATGTCCATAGAAGTTGTCATGTTCCTACATTTCTTTGTAAATATATGAAAGCAGTATCTTTTCTTAAAGAGAATTCATCTATTTTGTTCAATCTAGAATGTTCAATTGTCAAACCGAGAATCATATGAAAATGGAACTTTCCATTCACTATGAAATTATGAACATTATAGGACACAAATCATTCTAAGTAAAAAAGAAAAACAAATGAACAAGAGATGATGACAAATATAGAGTTTTTTACACAAAACGCGGCAGAATTATTTTCCTACTATATTTGATCATTCCAAATTAGAATATATTATCAGTCGATTGAAACGATATTTCCTATTGTTAAACCCAGGAAAAAAACCCGTAAAAATATGGAAAAACTAGAAGTCTGAAGTATATTGTTGAGTCCGAGTTTTGTTCGTTCAATTGAAAGGGAGCTAAACTCGATTTGTGGGTCTTTCGAAGATGTTTAATTGACCAGTATATGATAACAAACGTGATTACAAGGAGATTAAGAAAAATAAAAGAGGTCTGAGCTTTGCTGAAAGCACTGACGAGAATACAAGGAGGTTTGATCGGTTAATAAACCCTAGATCGAGCCATAAATATTTTTGTGTCTTTTTTCGGACCCTTTCTCTTTTCCTTAAGTCGTCTTTTTATAGCTGCAGCTCGTTTACTCTTCGTTCGCCCTAATACTTGTTCCTTCTAGAGGTCGAACCCCAAATCCGTGCTTGACAGGCTTTCGATCTGAAGGAAAGCTTGTTGAGCTGACGTTGATCAAATCGATCGATAGACCACGGCTCGGTCGATCGACTGAGTCACCAAGCCGATTGGCACGTTAGCCGAAGAGCCTCTTGATTGGGATCCTAATATAAATGGGCCAAATTCTGCTATTCGATGGGGCATGTTGAGAACTGCTAAATTCTCACCCAAGAGTAAGCCCCCCCCAGTTCATTGAGTAAGCACCGGTCTTTGTTGATGAAATTTAAATGATCGGTCCTGAGAATATGAGGATTGGTAGAATCCAAGGCGGAATGCAGCTCTTCCCTTTCTCGTTCCCTGGTGTCGGTTCGAATAATGTTTGGCTTGTATTTTGGTTTGCTAACCAGGGAACACTCGAATTGAGGCTCTTTCTCGTCGATAGATCGTACGGTCCAGATTCGATTTCGTTATGTGGCCCAAAATTTTTCCTGTAGAAAATCAATTAACCGGCTCGGTTTGTTTTGACGGGTTAGTTGATGGTTCCGACTTGCATCCGAATCGAGGCGTTCTTCTAAGTTTGGTATACTTAATAATTGGGTATTTCTCAAAGCCCGTGCCCCTTTTGCTATAAATAGGACTTTTCCCTTCTTCTTCCTTCATTTTGCTTTCACAAGGCAAAAAGGTACCTTCTTTGATATTTCTATCTCCTCCCCTTTTCTATTCTTTTTCTCTTCCCTTTTTTTTACTTTGCCCTCCAGGAATCAGATCTACTGCCGCCATTCTCCGAGCTCCCACTCTTCGAGGAGGAGGTTCCTGGCTGCCTTGCTCACCGGTGATTGCCGACTGATGTCGGCTGACTGACTGACGCAGCCTTCTCGAAGGAAGCTCTCGGCGTTCGAAAAAGGGAAGGGCATTTTGAAACAACCTAACCCGGAAATATTTGAAAGGTATTGAAAAGTACTAAGTAAAATACGAATCACATGGAAATAAAATACTGCATCTTTATTAATGAAATCGATTTTAAATAACGTAAATAATAAAATCAAGGTGCATAAAAAAAATCCCATAAAATCCCCTAATTCATAATACCGAGTCCCGATGGTCTTCATAGTCCAGCGCTCTGGTCCAAACAATCACTCCTCACCTGCATAAAGAAAGAGGTGTGAGTATACAAAAGTATTCAGTGAGGGTAATCAAAACCGCCCACATGCAATCGGTAACATCTAGCAGCTTAACATTTCATTCCATTCTGTCAACCTAATATTCCATTCATTCCTAGCAACCTAACATTCTGTTCCATTCTAGCAATCCTAACAATTCATTCCATCCTTACACTTAACTATTTGTGATTAATTAAACATTTACTTTAATTTTTACTCATCCTCGAATCGAAGGTTCATCATGGCCGAAGCCACATACTCGACCCGTAGGTCCGTCATGGCCGTAGCCAACAAACTCGACCCGTAGGTCCATCATGGCCGTAGCCATCATACTCGACCCATAGATCCATCATGGCCATAGCCAACATACTCGACCCGTAGGTCCATCATGGCCGTAGCCAACATACTCGACCCGTAAGTCCATCATGGCCTTAGCCAACATACTCGACCTGTAGGTCCATCATGGCCGAAGCCAACATACTCGACCCATAGGTCCATCATACTTTCCTTATTTACTTCATATAATAATCAGTTTTCTTAAACATTTTTCATTTAACTTATCATATACTTCTAGATCAAATCAATGTTCTTCCCATAAACATTTCCATTCATTTTACTATAAAACAAACAATCTAGCATGTCTTTTATCCTACGAATGCGAAAAACGTTCTTCGGTTTCTGAAATTACTTTGAAGTTCGAACATTCCATATAATACAACATCTGTTCATACATCCTAGCATAATCGGATCTAATTCACAAATATCTATGCTATCGAGTTGCCACGAATCACAATCTCGCCTTTGCTGAATCTGTAGGATTCGAAGACTCTGAACTTCCTTGCGTTTTTCAGCGAAGAACTCCTTAGCTCCTCCTCCTTTGATCCCTCTTCTCAAACTCCTCTCTACCAACTCGTTCATGCTATAACTTCTCTCTAAACTCTTTTTCTCCCTGTATGAAAAATGAGAGCTTAGGGAGTCCTTATATATGATTTCTCAAACTTTCTCACCAAACTGGACACTTAATGTGAATTTCCTTAATTGGCCTGGTCAAAGATTACCATCAATGTCTTGAATTAATCTCTATGATTCTTTCCTTATATGAGTACCGCAGATCCGACCTTCATGTTGTATAATCCCGTAATGTTAGCTACTCGATCTTTTCTTACTTATGCCCTTACCGTTCCATAATACTTTACCGTCACTCAGCCCATTCTAAGTATGTTCCATGAACTCACTACCGATCCGTCACTTAGTAAAAATACAGCTCATTCTTCCAACCTTCATAAATACAAGTATTTCCACACTTAGAAAAATACACGCCTGGTAGAATAAAACCTCTCATGATTTATTCCTTCGAATTTGAAAATACTTTGGGAGTGGGTCATTACACATTTGCTCGGCTTCAAGTCCCCCGAGGGAGTTTACACTCGGTTTGAAGCTTTTGATCACCGCAATTAGGGCTCATCGCAGTGCCTCTGGCGATGTGGCCAATATGGATATTGGCACAGCCCGTGATGCTGAGCGTTTATTCCGCAGAGATGGAGATGGGCAATGTTTGACAGGGGATGAAGAAGCGGCTACAGTAAACGGAGCTGGGGGAGATCCCCACCGCGAGTGGCATTGTCGAAAGTGGATCCACCGAGCGACGTCTTTGTCGGCCAGGTGATTCTCGTATGAGCGAGTCGCATGACGGAGAGGCCGATCGTTCGGTCGCCGGATCTGCGGTCAAACTGGGGAAAGGAAAGCGATTGATTCCCTTTATCTATCACCGCAATAAGTTAATCAAACAACTTCCTCATCTTGCTTCAAGTTTCTCCCGGCCTTCTGTGGTGGAGGGGCAAAAAATTGGTAATGTTCTTCCCACGTAGGGTACTGTGGAGAGCGTGACTTTGCTATTGAGGGATTGTCGAGCGTTTGACGTCACTTTCATGATCCCCATACCTGACCAACAGCGTTGGAGTCTCCCGATTGGTTTTCATTTCGTGTATGAGTCCTTTTTTGGAGGAGATTCAAGGCTATGGTTTCCCATTCCGCGCTTGAACACTTCATATTGTGCCCGTCGAGAAATCATTATGACTCAGCCGATGAATGGAGCGGTTCGAATTGATGTGGCTTTGATGGTGATGGCGGCTGAGGTGGACGTATCGATGACGGTTCACGTTTTTAAGGAGATGACACAGACTCAGCCCAAACCTAACATATTTTTCGCGGTGCAAATGCGGCCGGGACTCCATATTCTTACTGGCCATCATACAAAGACTAAGTTCTGGCAGCGATTTTATTTTTATATTAAGGCCAACGATGCAGCTTTCGAAGAATCACCGGGCGATAACTCACATGTTTTATGTATCCCTCGTATCGGTAGTTAGTTGGTGCCGAGAAATTAATCTTCTATTATGTTCTAATGCCTATTTTTTTTAAAAAAAGATTTGCAGTTACCCATCCGAACACCGTCGGATATCCGGAGAGCTTCTGGGAAGACGTTCCAAAGATTGCCGTTCTCAGCCAACACAAGTGTGAAGACTTTGACTCGAAATGAATCTGCCGTCAACGGAGGAGAATCACTAATGGTTACGCCCCGTCCTTGTGCTTGCATATATTTTTTATCGGCACTCACCTTGGAGTGGGTCTATCCTTGTGATGTCCTGACGTGTGTGATTGCTTTTTTTTGTTTGCTTTAGTCGATTGGATTTCGAACGTTCCTTCCGGAGAGCCCAAGGGAAAGATGTTAAAGCTTCCATTGATGGGGAAAATTCCAAAGGCGTACCCGAGGTACAGCAATATCCTCGGAGCCCAGCTGGGCAATGGGAGCTCCGATTCTATGGCCACGGCGGGGGATACTGATGGCGGGACTCTGGAATCGCCTGGCAAGGGACGGGATGTCACAACAGAAGAGGCGTTTGTGGGGGACTCGCTCGACCCGACCATCGATGCTTTTGTGTCAAAGAAAAAGAAGAAGGAGAGAAAGTATTCTATAAGAACACACACAAGCCCCAAGGACAAAGAACTCGAGACTACGGTTGATAAAAGGGATGGTGACCGCTCGACTGATGACATGGGAGAAAGTCATGGAGAGGTTC